TAGTGACAAGCTTTCAAACAAAAAAAAGAAATCGTGTATATAATGAAGGCTCATTGAGAAATCTTGGAGATGAGATGACCTACTTTTAACCCGTGTTTTGTTCATATCTCCGTCAAACGTCAAGGTATCGAGCTGAAAATTTTACCACAGCCTCCTCTCTGTAGGCCCAACATATAATGCAAATTTCAGCCCATCTGAATGTACCTGGACTGAGATCGATTTTTGAGGGGAGGGGGAGGCCTTATGGTCACTACAGAAAAATTTACTATTCAGATCGAAAGATTTTCAGAAAAAGGATTCAGGCTCTTGATCACATATTTTGTATAAATGGTGAGATGGTCATAACTTTTGACTACAGAGTCATGGGCCCAAATCCTTTTGGCTTTCTGCTAGATCCATTGAGGTCTGCCTACGGTAAAAATATGAGATATAAAGCGAGTGGACACTCCGGGTACCTCCCTCGCAAGTATACACAGAATAATTCCGACTGCCTCTGTTGTTCTCCTAACTACTAGAATCAGTTTTGCACTCATACTCTGTCACTTGATAAAATATTACTTTAACAAGAAGGAAAAATATTTCAGCTAGTAATATTTTGTGGTAGTTTTTCGAACCCCCTCCCCCCCCCCCCCCCCCCCCCACTCACTCCCTCAATTTTCAATTGATTTAATTACGATTGAGTTGAGTGCTGCTCGCTTCACGACCAATTTGAATCAGAATCAATGCAATTCGAATAATGAACCTTTTAAGACAACATGGTGTGAATGAAATGATGTTTCTCAACTGCATTATGCCTACCATGTCACTAAACTCCCATTCAATTCACAGAAAGATTCACAATAAATCTGAATTTTGTCAGGTATTTTTTTTTCAGATCACAATCTGTGAAGGATACAAGCAAAACAACTTGTCAATAGGATGAAGGTCCTGTTTTCTCATCTGTGGAAGATCTAGGCTTCACATTTGACCAACAGTAGCAGTTTTGTTTTTGGATCCTTTCGCATAACATTTACCAGGGGTGGGCTCCTTGAATATGACACCAGGGACTTCTGTAATAGTCAAAGCGGCACCAGGATCTGGAAAGACCACTGCATACCCTAATGTAGTACGGCATTCACCTTGATTTATATGCCCTGCGATAGTAAGATCACCGACAAACATATCGGGAAGATGATCTAGTGTATCGTTGCCCGAACCCGCAATCATCACCGACGCACAATCTGAAAATAAAAGAGAGGTTATCATTTTTTACGAGAATAGATGAAATCTATATGAGCTACCTACTTTGAAACATTTCGGGACGACTTGGAGTCACTGGAAACCAACTCCTAGAAAACAACCATCATAGTCAGAGTTAGCCTAGGATGCCTAATGAGCGTGTATGGCAGACTCACCAAGAAAATAGCGCTGCACCTGCTCGGGTCTCTGCAGGTATATGAAAGAAGAATACTTGATTGGGACCTGCTCTTTCCGAACGAAATTTTACATCACGAGGACAACCGCCCTGATAAGTATGCAGAACTTTCCAGGTTTCTCCGTTATCAAACGACAAGGAAGCCTGGCAACTTCCCCCACTATGGGGAGCCAAATTGCCTTCACCATCGGACATATGATTGAGAATTCTAAACCAGACAATCGATTAGTTCATCATCATATTCATAAATCTTATCAGAAAACTACTTACTCAAATCTTGCCATGCGACCTGCTTGCCAAATTTCGGTTGGTGCTTTATTTACTTCCGGTTGTTTGTGCAGATTCTTGCAGGGAAAAGGAAACTCGTTTCCTTGTATTCTCAAGGGCTTATTGTATTCGTTCCCGGATGGGTTTTCAGGGACAGCAGCTAAAGGTATAGGACGCCGAATTCGAGCATGAGCAGAAATCGATAAAATAAAACTGAACATGAAAAGGAGATCAATACACGTTTTCAAAGACATATCCCGTCTCTTCGAGTGAAACTGATGAAATGGCGAAAGAATTGAATTGGCATCAGACTCGTAATCAAATATTTATATCATATCAGACAATATGCAATGCCTTTACAATCCTTCTACCCGCCCACAATACAATTATATTTGATAAAATTTGATGGAATAAATGTCATGATTTTTGGATTTTTATGAGACAGAGGTTTGATTCGATCGGCCCTTGTCGCCGAGAAAAATATTTCAAACATTTGCTAAAGGCTTATTTGATGATAGTTGTGTCCGGATCGAATGAAGCGAAATGTTATTATTTCGTTAGCAATCATATCAAAGACAATCGTAAAGGATGTCTAAGGTTACCAATGCAATTATATATACATTTAATGTCAATTTTGATCAGCTCCCTACTTCTGATTCAAGCAAGTATAATCGAAATACATTCTTTTTTTCTCTGTTTTTCGAACGTTCTCTTGATAGTGATTGTATGGACGAGCGAGTGAAGGTGCTGTTCACCATAGAAAACTCATCGAATCCAACTGATGTAATTGCAAATGCCAAAGCTGTTGAAAGAATTCTTTCTCATTCTTGATGTTACGGTGAAAACTTTTCTAGGATCTGTAAATAAATGAATAGAGTGATATTGTTCGGATAGGTGTTATAATAGAGATCGTCGTCACTAAAGTCATCTTTATTTGTCTTTACGTAAGGCAGGCATTCAAACGTCCTATTAACCCTTTCGCGCCGGTTTTTTTTCAGTAGGAACTGTGACCGAATCTTAAGGGAAAATGGTTTTTCTCACAGTTTGTGGAAGGCTTGTCCGTCTGGAAGAAAAAACAGCTTTCTCAATGTCTGAAAAGTCCGTGACTCAATGACCTTCGCAGTTTACAATATAATTTTTATTAAAGTTATTTCAACGTGTGATAGGCTTCGAAACATGGCACTACACATAAGCCAACATTGCACTCTTTTCATTCGTAACTGTTTTTATTTCCTGCTTTGGACCACGATTTGTGTCACTGTAGACTAAGCAATGCGTTCGTCCATCATGCGAGCTCTACACCTTTCATGGAAAATGTCGTGTTGTTACGAGGAAAGAAGTCTCAATTGATGGTCTGTCTCGACTGTCCAGTTTTTGAGCGCTGAAGGTGAGGGACGCGAATACATTTTTCTTGTGTTCTTCTAATATTTGCTCATCACGCGTATAAATAGGTTCTTCAATTCGTCTATAGAGGAGGGCGAACGGGAAGAATGAAACTAACGGATGACCCATAATAAATGCCCGCTTTTTGCATTTCCGTTTTCTATCGATAAGTTCGCTTTACGCAGGACAAAAATATATCAAAAGATGCAGTGTCGAACGCTCTATAATCTACAATCCAGAGTGTCTTTCAGTCATGTAACTTTTCCTTTCGAAACGAGCGACGTTGTTCAAGGTCATTTTTTCATTTTGCGAACGACATCATTTTCTAGTAATTCAATCGATTTTAATGTTCTTGTTTCTCAACTTAACTCTCTGAGATGTTTTATTTCAGAAGCAGAATGTAAGACAGAAGGGCTACGCAGAGTGTGAGTTTCCAACAGAGATTCTAAGCAGAATTGCGACGGATTTCGTCCTTGCTGAGGAGTGTGAAGATAAGGACAGCTACCATGATCGGTTTCATTCCGACTAAGGAACTTTTCAAATGACAAATAGATTCATATCAGGGCTCGAAACGGGCCATTTTTTTCTAGCCCGACCCAATTCAGATCAGAAATTTGGTTAGCCTGCCCGGCCCATCCGAACGGTCCAGAACTTCTTTGAAGATCTGTCGCAGAGTTATTCAATTTCTTCTATTGGAAATATTTGTCATACAAGCTGCAATTAGATGACTGATTTGCAAATGACTGCAGGTCACATCAACCATTCAAAGGACAAAGAATTTCGCTATTCAAGTATGAAAATATAAGATGGAGAAAAGGTCTAGATTCTTTGTTGATGTGTTTCAAACTGATCGGACGAAAAGAACATTTTCAACAGTGACAGGATTGAACGATGCTAATCTCTCATTTACCAACAGTCTAGCTATATTAAACTGTCTCTCTTTATTTGCTGAGATCGCTGAAATCAAGAACAGTCATCTCGCTCGTTTTGGCATTGAAGCAAAAATGAACTAGCTAGATAACTTAGAAAAATAAGCGAGCGATGAGCAACACTTGTTTGGACGGTCAATCGTATTCGCTAATGAGAATCAAATACACACCAGTCCTAGTCAGATTCAACAGCGAGCAACATCTTCACACGCATAAATCACGAAATTGTGTGCTCTCACGCATTATAATACTTTATTTTTTGTTTCATCTCTGCCTCAGCAAGTGAAAAGTAAAAAATCACTGAGTTTTACTCATTTATTCATTCTTCGTGCTCATGTCGTCGAAATTACCAAGGTTTGAGCGATTTATCGTTATCTTTTATGTTTATTATGCACGCGATTAGTAACGATTTTTCAAAATACCAATGACTTATTCGTAGTTTTGAAAAGAATCGCTGATTAATCGCAATTAAATGTTTAAAATCACAAAAATCATAAGTATAAAAATCGCGATAAATCGTTCGAAGCTTAGCGATTTTGACGACATGGATGGCGTTGTCCAAATTCATACCATCAAAACCGCCTAAAAAACACCAATGAATTGTGACAGCTACCAATTAAACAACACGATAAACCAACAATTTTCAGGTGGTTTTGAGGATACAAGAAGTAACTGTAGTGTGGTTTGCGGTTTCTGATTGAGATGCCCACCGAAGGTAGCTAAGTTTTGACTTTTTCCCAAAAAAAAACACTTTTTTCTGTTTTTCATGACGTTTTCGAGCAGAAGACTGGACGTAGTGAGTTATCTAGTCCGTCTAGCTATTTTTTGAATTATTTATTGCATAGCATGATGTTTCTCATTGAAGCAATCAGGACAAAAAAGGTATCATAATTAGAACAGAAAGTTTTTATTTTCTTTGCTGTTGCATTAGTTGCTTCTCTTGATTGTTACTGCCAAATTTTCTCATAGCAACCAGCACAACGACTTCGAATATCGCGACCAGATCCTTCTTTTTCTTCTAGATTGTGATCAGCTAGTTTACGTTTCGCTTGGCCTTTTGACTTTTGTCTCACACTCGGCTTCAGCTTCTCGAACGGTATATCAAGCAGTAAAGATCGAACAACACTTTCGCGAAACTGCAGAATGGTGACTTCGCTGGTGACATAGTTTTCCTTGTATATCAAATAGCGTTTAACTATTGCAGTCCCAAAAAACAATTCAAATGCTACGTTTCGGTACCACTATATTGACCTCCTGAGACATGCGTAATATGTCAATAGCTGGTCAAATAAATCACCACCTTGTCTCTCATTGTTGTAATCTAGTACCACTTGTGATTTAAAGGACAGAGAGACACGAACAAGGGAGAAAAAGCTGGAAATTTCGTTCTTCTATCTTACCTGTACTACCTATAAGATGTAAAAGAACGAAAAGTAACTTGAGGGATTTTTCATTTGATCGCAAAAAATAGGTCATTATGCGATGATATAAAGAAGAGAATGACGAATAATTGGTAGAAGATAATGAAAAGATCACTAAGGGCACTTGTTAGAAGCTAACTCTCGACAGAAATGTATATCTCGAAGAAATTCTCTAAGAAAACTAAATTGTGGTGAATGTGTTATTTGGCGATACAATACTGATCGACGAAATACTAAAACTAGGTTTTTGAATCGATCACATTCTTACTATTGGTATCGTCAATAGACTGTGAATTCTTCTCTGTTCTTCTATTTTTCTCCTTTTAAAATCAATTTTTTACAGTTTGTGTTTTAAAATTGTACTGCAGAGCCCTGATGAGTGTTTCTATTCAAATAAAATATACGAAACGCGTCGGCGAAAATTAAAATCTGCATGTCTTCATAATAATCTACAAGCACAACTATTAATAAAATATTTTCATCGATAAAAGAATCGATTGCTGAAAAGCAGGAGTTAAGACTAGCAGATTGAGTTTATCTTTCATTCAAGAGATAGATCAGTTTGTTTTCGTTTGACGAACGGTGACATTCAACTTCAATCCTGACAAACAGGTAAAGAGCACCAAGGCTGGCCGAACAAAGTTCGGTTCAGCGAGCAGTGCTACCCTATCATCAAGCGCAAACACTTCAAATCGCTGTCGAAAATCAATCTAGCCAAGCTGACGAATCAGAAGAAATACAGTTGTCAGCATTCGAACAGACACCTGATGTCGTCCAATACGTTGACTGTGACTATCACTTGAGAGTCTCTCAAGATTGATTGGAGAACAGTGTTTCGCGATTTTTCTATAAATAAGCACATACATATGTCGGGGACAAAACTGAAATTCGAGTTTTGACCTGAAGTTTTTGAACGAAATTCTAATACCAGTTCTGTCCGGACGCAATCAGAATCCCAACTTTATTGAGAACTTTCTCCCGGACAGTTTCCGAATCCTGCTTTCGTCCGGGTAGACTACAAACTTTTTCGGAGAGACTTAGGATTCCTGTTTCGTTCGAGCAAAACTAGAACTGAACGGAAGAATCAACAGAATTAAAAATACTTCGACTTGTGGCGAAATAGCTGGCTCCTCTTCCGTATATTGAAACAATCAATTTTTTCCCATTGCCGTTATGACAAGTGGAACTAACACTCGAAAAAACAACAACGAGAATATTATGCATTCCTCGATGAATCATTCATACGGATTCTCCGTTCAGTTCTGATTTTGCTCGGACGAAACT